GGCATTTTCCCCAGTTCCATAAGTATAGCTCTTCTTAGCATATAATACTGTCACCCAATAAGCAGGAATGACTCATGAGTATTTTGACAATCCCACCTCCATTCTTTTAAAATGTTCTCCTAGAGAAAATAGAGAGTTACAGTATGGTTCTAGTTTGTGAGGATCCCTTCTTGACAACGTGGTCCAGAAGAAGGAAAATTCAAATCCTTGGTGAGATTCTCCATAACCTGTCTCTAGCTCAATGTTAAATCACATTTTGGAAAAGCCAGCTATAACCTGGTTCTAGCCCATATTATAATTTCAGCATCTCATTTCTTCTGTTCAGTCCCCACTGCAAGAAACCTGGAACAAAGTGGTTTTCCACATGATTTCCATGCTTGTCTGGTGTACTGCCTTACAAATATTCCCCTTTGCCTTCCCACACATCCAAGGGCTGGATTCGGATGTGACTTCTAGATTAGCCCTCGACCTTCTTGGTGAAACCTTTGATTCCTGACAAGAGGAAATGACCCCCAGTCCCTTTAGACACTGCCTCATTTTGCTTCTCTCCCTTAGCCCACTCCCTCCACATCTTATCATGATTTGTGCATCTGTCTTACCCTTCAAATAAATCTCTGAATTTCCAAAGCAGAAATCATAGGGGATTTATGTCTCAGATTCCCATGATGCTTTGCCTAAATTGATTTGTTGATGAAAATGCATAGGGCAGGAGCTGAGTATATTTTATTAATATTGGCATCTTGAACAAGTGCAGTTAAATATCTCATAAAGGCTTTGAGGGTAAGAAAACACTTGGTATCCAAGGTTCATGAGACTCCCTAAAACCTTCCTTTCATTGCGCCAGCTCTGAGTCTTTCACTGTGGAGACTATTTGTCATCCTCAGCCCAGAGGATACTTCACTTATTGAATTACTGTGACCCTGGGCAGTTACTAATCTATGAGGCAATTTCAGGCCAACATTCTTGGTGGCACTAATCATGTGTAAAAGCATTTGTGAGGTGACCTCCAGCTAGTAACGTGCCCTGGATTGGGACAATCCCAGGAAAGTAATCTAGATTAGAAAAATAGACTCTGAGGCCACCAGTCATAGAATTAGGTTCTGATACTAATTATCACTTTGGGGGGGGGCTAGTTTGCTTCTATACCCTGTCACCCCAGGATTCTAACTCCCCAAACTACCCTGCCCCTGTCCAACAGCATTGTAGATCTTCCAGAAGTCACGGGCACACAGGAAGATCTGAAGACAAAACTTATTGATAACTCATATGTGTCATTAAGGAACAAAGTTGAATGTGGTATCCTGTTAACTGCCAAGAATATGGATTTGAGAATTAGGATCCAAGATTTGAAACCGACCTCCTTGGTTAAGATATTTTGAACAAGTTTTCTGACCTCTCTGAGCCTCTCTCAATGAACTCATTTGTAAAGCAAATTAAAGCTGCCATGTCTATCACATAGAGTTGTCTTGAAAATGAAGTGAAATCATGCAAGAAAAGCTCCTAGAATGGTACCTGGCACATGGTAGTACTAAAAAAAAATGTTGGCTGTTATTTTTATCAATTTTATCATCATTATTAGTGAAGTTTTGGGTGATAAAATTCCAAGATTAACAGCTGAAAGGAGCCATTGTACAGACTGGACCTCCATCATTGGAACTCAAACACTCATAAGACATCAAGGCTCTTCTTCTGCCTGCAGGAATCTCTGTTCTCACACATCCTTTGGAAGAATGTTTGTCATCTAGATCTTTCTTTCATAAGTCCCAAGAATCACCGCTATAAAAACCAGCTGGAAAATATGGGGAGACTGGATTCAGATCAATGCAACAGAACTTTCTACAGGACCTATCTCTACATGAAATAGGTTGTCTCTGGAGGTAGTGAACTTCCCATCACAGGAGACATTCAGGGAAAAGCTGGATGAACACTTTTGGGGAATTTTGTGAAATAATTTCCAGGTATCATATTCAGGATTGAACCAGAAGAACTTTGAGGACTTGACTGACCCTAGGACTCTATGCTACCATTATCTCTTCTTTCTTTATTTTTAGCCCTTTCTTACAGAAAAAAAATAATGTAACATTGAAAAATATCCAAAACAATCCCTGTGGCTGGAGACCCACTTTGAACAGCACAGAACTGGTAAAGCAGACATCCCTAAACTGCCATCTTTGGTTAATGGTAAAAGAATTTCTAACAAATACACTATCAAAACATACAGAACTCATACTTGAGAAGTCAAAGCAAATTATAGTTGGTAAACTATTATTTTAAAAATACTTTTGTGTACCTTGAGTTGAATTCAGTTCAGGAACAAAATGTATCAGAAAATGCCTGCTTTCCAGTTTTGGATACGTCATATCATCTGGCTTTAGAGTGTGTCATTTTCCTTCTAGGAAGGATAGACTCTCATTTTAGTCAAAGAGCACTTAATAGATGCTGTCTAGTAAGAGAACTTGTCTGGTCTTTGTCCTGGGCTTCCAACAAGAAGATTCTAACATCCTTGGAATTCTTTGATTGACTGGAATACCTTTGTTATGCTAATAAGGTGACTCATGGTAGACCTTTAAATTTCTTCTGGATGAGAGCTGGTCACTAGAAACACTAACCAAGTGATTCAAGAATTGGGACTTTGGCTCAGACCAGCTTCTTGGGAGAGGAACAGGGCTGAAGAGTGAGTTCAATCACATGGCCAATGACTTATTCAATGTAGGTCTATGCAATGAAGCTCCAATAAAAACTCTGGGTTCAGTGCATCTTCTTGGTTGGTGAACCTATTGATGTGCCAGGAAATGACACATCTTTCTCTAGAAGAGGACATGTAAGCTCTTTATTTAAGGTTGTCCGTAGACTTGTGCTGTGTTATGTCCTTTATAATAAAATTATAATCATAAATATAATGTTTTCCTGCGTTCTAGTGAATTACTAAACCTATTAGAGTCATGAACAACCCTGAATTTATAACCAGTTCTCTAGAAGTTCTGCTGGTATCTGAAATAAGTACAGTCTTGTAAAGGGTTGAGCCCTTAAACCTGTGGAAGCTAATTCTAATTCCAGAATAGAATCACAATATCCCAAGATGGAATTGAGATAGCAGACACCATAATGTAAGTTATTTCACTGAATAGGGTATATCTTGGCTCTTGTTTCTTAGTTTGGGCTACCAAATATTGACAAGGATATGGGAATACCTAGATTACAGGCCAGGAATGTAACTCTTGGAAGGTAATGGGTGCAATCATATGGGAAGAAAGTGTGCTATTAGAGGATTGTAGGGAGCCTGTAGGTTCTTGAGAGGACCCTTCACCAGAGGCAAGAGGACACAGGCAGCAAGATTAAGGTCTGTTCATGGAAATTCGGGAAGGAGTGGGAATATGGGCCAAGAGGGATATTTTTGGTCCTCTTTGACTTATCTTATAAATTTATAAGATCGTCATTGTTACTCTGCTTTTACAGATGAGAAAAAAAAAATGAGACCCAAAGAGGTTGAGTAATAAGATAACTCTTGTAAGGAACAGAGCTAGGATTTTTAAAACTCACATCTTTTTTACTTTAAACCACTTGCCCTGTGCAATATACACCATACTGCTCTTCACTGTAGGGGTCACTGATCACTCTGTAATGGGAAGCCTGAGCAGGAGACTGGAACAAGGCCCCTCAGCCAAGACTAGGGAACAGGTCTTCAGTGGTGAGAGAGTAGGGCCTGGGGAGGATTTTCTGAAGAAACTGAAGCATGTGGCATGGTTATAACAAATGGAATTCACACATGAAGGTACAATGCTATAGCTGGAAAGGAGGGAAGTCACAGAACACAAGCCCAAAAAAAGCAGAGTCAAACCAACAGTTTCTCAGGAGTCTAGAAATGGAACATTCTGAATTCCTCCTGTTAGAAATCAGCTCCATAGTCCTAGCCACCGGGCTGCAAGTCTATGGAGATGGGGAGGGGCCATAAAACGAGGTCATTGGTCTAAAAGAAGCAGATAACATAAGTCAAGGAGTAGTAAGTCCTCTCATTGTGATAAAGCCTAAATGCAGCTTGATGGATAAGAAATCTTTTTTAAAATAAAGGGGACCCCACACCCCCCCAAAAAAAAGTTTTCATAGTTTACCAGTGTGTCATCCCAAGATGAATGAGAAGTATATTCATTCAGGAAAAAGTAAAACTGAGCTGATTTTTTACTTCAGAGATGTTCCATTGTTTTCTGAATTCCAACAAGAAGCAAATGTACTGTCATTAAGACAGGAAGACAGACAGAAATGGAAGACCAATGGAAGTTATGAGAAGAAGACAAGAGACTGGTCTAACTTTCCCTTGTTATTAACCTTTTAGTTTTATCAGATTCTAACATCACTTGATCCAGTTTTGCAATAACTCTCATCATCATCAAAGAACTGTAAAGGGATTTTTATTTATGTGAATTTAAACTAAAGATTAAGTTGCCCTTATCCT